CACACTCTTGGCATTATACTTTAAGGGAAGCCAGCATCCTAACAGTGCACTGTGCATCCGCCAACTATCCTTTCCAATTTGCAAGAGGCTGAAACCAGAGATCGGTATAATGACGAGATGCTCATGTCTCCGCCCTAACAATTGGAGTCGTTGTTCCAAAGGCGGGAAGGCAGTCGACAAGCTTAGGTCTACATATTATGCCCATAGAAACGCATTGGGCCTATTCTGTACAGATTTTGGCGAGAGTGAGCCCTCTCGCTTCGCCTCTTCTTCTCTGCCGAGTGAGCGAAACGGCGCTCCTCAGAAATAGTATGACATGCCATACTCTTTTGGTCCAGACAGCATCAGATACATGGCCTACACATACTGAGACAGAGGGGCGCTGTTTCGCTCGCTCGTATGCTTTATCTGAGATTGATGCGTCTCTGTCAGCGCGTGTCTCTGTCAAATAAATGATCAATATTTCAATATTTTATTTGGATGGGCAAGGAGGTACGGTAGGGCGGGCCAGGCCCCCTAAGGCCCTCCCATAATGCCGACCCTGGGCGGAAATATGAACTATGAATATTTATGATGAATGTAAACTTCTCTTTTTGGTAGCTGTTCAATAGACAACTTTCCAAGTCAAATGTACTCTCATTCAGCCTGACAAAAATGCATACAGTTACACGTGTTTTGAGGTTGTGTCTATTGTAATCAGCTCTAAGGCAAGTGGGCTCAGACACTAAAAAATGTATTTTTTTTCCAGTCAAAGGGTTCTCTGTGGCTTTTATGTGTTCTGCCCCTACTCTTGTAATTACGTTAGGGGGCCCCCTAGATTTGACTCCAAATCCAATATGGCTGCCACAATACCATTGAATAGTGGTTTAATCACCTGTAAATGTACACGTTTTAAATTAGATATTTTTCAGATTTGTGTACCTGTACTGCAGAGTTCCCCAACTGGTGTCCCGCTGGCCAAATGTGATTTTATTTGGCCCCCCAAGTTTTCGGAACAATTTCTTTAACGTTTTTTTATTGTTGGACATAAGACTGTAAATATACCAGAAAATCAGCTCCAAGTGATTTTACATTTGGAAATCGTTTCAAAAGTTTTCCCACACATAATAGAAATCTCTGTGTGATCGGATACAAATGTAAGCATGGTTTGAAATGATTATGTTTTAGTCAAATGTATCTGTTTCGGATTCTTGCGGTCAAATTGCAGTCTACAAATTACACTGTCTTGGTCCCATGTTTCATGAGCTGAAATAAAACATCCCAGAAATCCCACATTTTGGCTACATATTTCTTTACTTCCCTGTTAGTGAGCATTTCTCCTTTGTCAAGATAATCCATCCACCTGACAGGTGTGGCATATCAACAAGCTAATTAAACAGCATGATCATTACACAGGTGCACCTTGTGCTGGGGACAATAAAACACCACTCTAAAATGTGCAGTCTTGTCAAACAACACAATGCCACATGTCTCAAGTTTTTACGGAGCGTGCAATTGGCATGCTGACTGCAGGAATGTCCACCAGAGCTGTTGCCAGAGAATTACATTTTCATTTCTCAACCATAAGCCGCCTCCAACGTCGTTTTAGAGAATTTGTCAGTACGTCCAAAGCGGCCTCACAACCGCAGACCACGTGTAACCACGCCAGCCCAGGACCTCCACATCCGGCTGCTTCACCTCCGGGATCGTTTGAGACCAGCCACCCTGATGAAACTGTGGGTGTGCACAACCGAAGAATTTCTGCACAAACTGTCTCATGGACACTCATCTGCGTGCTCGTCATCCTCACCAGGGTCTTGACCTGTCTGCAGTTCGGCGATCGTACCCGACTTCAGTGGGCAAATGCTCACCTTTGATGGCCACTGGCACACTGGAGAAGTGTGCTCTTCACGGAATAATCCCGGTTTCAACTGTACGGGGCAGATAGCTGACAGCGTGTATGGCGTCGTGTGGGTGAGCGGTTTGCTGATGTCAATGGTGGCGGTGGGTTTATGGTATGGGCAGGCATAAGCTACGGACAACGAACACAATTGCATTTTAACGATGGCAATTTGAATGCACAGAGATACCGTGATGAGATCCTGAGGCCCATTGTCATGCATTCATCCGCCGCCATCACCTCATGTTTCAGCATGATAATGCACGGCACCATGTCGCAAGGATCTAGACACAATTCCTGGAAAAACAGACAGAATAACAACAAAAAAATCCAGAAAATAACACATGTAAAAAATGTTATAAATTGATTTGTATTTTAATGAGGGAAATAAGTATTTGACCCCTCTGCAAAACATGACTTAGGACTTGGTGGCAAAACCCTTGTTGGCAATCACAGAGGTCAGACGTTTCTTGTAGTTGGCCACCAGGTTTGCACACATCTCAGGAGGGATTTTGTCCCACTCCTCTTTGCAGATCTTCTCCAAATCATTAAGGTTTTGAGGCTGACGTTTGGCAACTCGAACCTTCAGCTCCCTCCACAGATATTGTTTATGGGATTAAGGTCTGGAGACTGGCTAGGCCACTCCAGGATCTTAATGTGCTTCTTCTTGAGCCACTCCTTTGTTGCCTTGGCCGTGTGTTTTGGGTCATTGTCATGCTGGAATACCCATCCACGACCCATTTTCAATGCCCTGGCTGAGGGAAGGAGATTCTCACCCAAGATTTGACGGTACATGGCCCCGTCCATCGTCCCTTTGATGCAGTGAAGTTGTCCTGTCCCCTTAGCAGAAAAACACCCCCAAAGCATGATGTTTCCACCTCCATGTTTGACGGTGGGGATGGTGTTCTTGGGGTCATAGGCAGCATTCCTCCTCCTCCAAACACGGCGAGTTGAGTTGATGCCAAAGAGCTCGATTTTGGTCTCATCTGACCACAACACTTTCACCCAGTTCTCCTCTGAATCATTCAGATGTTCATTGGCAAACTTCAGACGGGCCTGTATATGTGCTCTCTTGAGCAGGGGGACCTTGCGGGCGCTGCAGGATTTCAGTCCTTCACGGCGTAGTGTGTTACCAATTGTTTTCTTGGTGACAATGGTCCCAGCTGCCTTAAGATCATTGACAAGATCCTCCCGTGTAGTTCTGGGCTGATTCCTCACCGTTCTCATGATCATTACAACTCCACGAGGTGAGATCTTGCATGGAGCCCCAGGCTGAGGGAGATTGACAGTTATTTTGTGTTTCTTCCATTTGCGAATAATCGCACCAACTGTTGTCACCTTCTCACCAAGCTGCTTGGCGATGGTCTTGTAGCCCATTCCATCCTTGTGTAGGTCTAGCTCTTTGGTCTTGGCCATGGTGGAGAGTTTGGAATCTGATTGATTGATTGCTTCTGTGGACAGGTGTCTTTTATACAGGTAACAAGCTGAGATTAGGAGCACTCCCTTTAAGAGTGTGCTCCTAATCTCAGCTCGTTACCTGTATAAAAGACACCTGGGAGCCAGAAATCTTTCTGATTGAGAAGGGGTCAAATACTTATTTCCCTCATTAAAATGCAAATCAATTTATAACATTTTTGACATGCGTTTTTCTGGATTTTTTTGTTGTTATTCTGTCTCTCACTGTTCATATAAACCTACCATTAAAATTATAGACTGATCATTTCTTTGTCAGTGGGCAAACGTACAAAATCAACAGGGGATCAAATACTTTTTTCCCTCACTGTATATCTGTATTCCCAGTCATGTGAAATAGATTAGGGCCTAATTTATTTATTTCAGTTGACAGATTTACTTATATGAACTGTAACTCAGTCAAATCTTTTTAATTGTTGCATGTTGCGTTTATATTTTTGTTCAGTGTATTTGTAATTATGTTCCGTACTCAATGCTAACCACCCACAGTTAATAAAAGACAAATTATCATCCTACCCAACTTCCAAAGGAATATAAAGAAATATGTTGGACGTGGCCTGCAGGACTTTTTGCCAACATTAAAAAAACTCCACCTCCAGGCCTATTAGGCATTGGAAAGATCTCAAGGCATGTCTATTTGTGACAGCTCTTTCACAGACTTTCCTTCACAACCAGACCACCAACCATTCCACTATTGGAGTATCCCCAGTGTCATTTAGGCTGGGATAACAATCCATTTAGTCATTGGGTCTCGTTGGCATGCAAGCTGCATCTGCTGACTGCCTATACCGAACTGTAGAAATGGAAACTGATCACCCCACAGCCCCAATACCCCGCCAGTCATACAGGAAGGATACTGCCCTTGGTGCTGCAGCTTTCCCAGAATGACCAGTTAGCTGTGCAAGCTGGTCAGGCCCGAGAACTACAACCACCACTGGCTACTTTGTCTCCTCACCCTGTTGGTGCACACTCATGTCCTGGTCACCTCAAAGACTTTGAATCAACCTTGCACACTTAGTTTTAGTGGGTAAAAGAGGGCTGTACAAATACACTACTAGAGTAGCTAAAATCACATTTTATTTTGCAGATGTTATCGCAGATGTTATCGCAGGTACAGCGAAATGCTTCTGTTTCTAGCTCCAACAGTGCAGTAACACCTAACAATACAAAACAATGCACACAAATTCCCCAAAATAGAACGAGTAATGTCAGAGTCCGGAATATAAATATACAGACGTGGTCAAAAGTTTTGAGAATGACACAAATATTAATTTTCACAAAGTCTGCTGCCTCAGTTTTTATGATGGCAATTTGCATATACTCCAGAATGTTATGAAGAGTGATCAGATGAATTGCAATTAATTGCAAAGTCCCTCTTTGCCATGAAAATTATATCCCCCAAAAACTGTTCCACTACACTCTCTGTCTTTATCTGACCCTAGTGTACCTCCTGCTTCAGGCTTTCTCTCCTCATCTAGTAAGATTCAGTGTAGAGGGTCTGCACCAAAAGTTTTCCCTATCATGTGTTTTCAGTTCTGAGCAAATTACAGGAAGGAGATGATGAAAGGATTAAAGCACTTAGTACTATTGAGATTCATAAATGAATGTATCCTTTTTTCCCTAACCTTTAACCCCTGTCCTTCCAGGCTCTGCGGTAAAGAACTTATCAGCGTTCCGTCTGCTCCAGGGTTCCTTCCAGTGGTTGGAGGACTGTGTTTTCTGCAGCCAGATCCTAAAGCACCATCAGGACCGTGTGGTCATGGTACAGGGCCAACTTGTATACGCAGCAGCATATACACACGCAAACACACACACACACACACACACTGTAACAGGTGCGTAGGTTATCAGTGATGGAGGTATTTTGGAACTTCTGCTGGGAGAACTACGCAGGAGGGCCAAGATACTCAGGAAGTCTGGAGGAGCAGGTACTTGTGTATAATTGTAATGATGACGTTATCACATATACAGTCTTATATGGAGCCTACAGAGCCTCTCAGTCTTTCTCACACACAGAGATCTCTTCTCTCTCTGTCAGGTCCCCAAGATCAGTCAGCTGTAGAGGTGGGTAAGAGATCTCTTACCACCAGTATGCTCAGAGTAGTGGCTGCCCTACCCTACACTCCATCAGAAACACAGGTAAGTGTCGGAGTCTGGTCTAGCGAGAGTGCAACCAACATTTGCCCCAAAGGCACTGGTTCGATCCCTGGGTCCACCACTAGCCACTTTCCTCACTATATCCCACTCTTATCTTTCTCCCCTCTAATTCATACCTGTGTCTATCCAAAGAAATGGTACGATCTATCATGTACACACATCCCAAAACCTCTCTCTCTCTCGCTCTCTCTCTGTATCAGTCCGTGACTTGGGGATGGCTTCCTACATAAAGATGGCGGCAGGTGGCAGGTAGCTTAGTGGGTAAGAGCGTTGTGCCAGTAACCGAAAGGTTGCGGGTTCTAATCCCCGAGCCGACTAGGTGAAAAATCTGTCGATGTGCCCTTAAGCAAGGCACTTAACCCTAATTGCTCCTGTAAGTCGCTCTGGATAAGAGCGTCTGCTAAATGACGTAAATGTAAATGTAATAAAGATCCTATATGAGGAGCAGTACAGAGGACCTGGAGCAGCTATCAGAGATCAACCCTGACGAGTTCGTGTCTACGGCTATAGGAGCTCTCTGTTCCTCTACACAACAGGAGCTGGGCCTCAAACATGACCTGCTGCAGGTATACACACACACACACGTGTGGAAAAGCACACACACACACGCGCATGCATGCACACATACACGTGCAGAAACACACACACACACACACATGCACACATGCTTGCACACAGACAGATGCGCACACACACACATTGATCTCTAATGTATTATGGATTGTTGTCCAACACATTCTGCTAAAGCATGAGGTGAAATGGACTGATCTGCAGATTTCATTTTCACGTCTAATTGTAACAAATTGTAACACGTTTAAAGCATAATAAGCCAGTGAATTTGTTATCTCATCCTCCGGGAGCCTTATTGCATTACAGACAAATGCAGATTGATTCGCTAATACAGGTTTAGCTGTTAGCCAGGGTGCTATTCGATTACCCCATCCAGCCTTGTTCTGTAGCTCTCTGAAGATTAGGACCTCTTTCACATCAGAGAATGGCTGATAAACCTGATTAGATCTAAGTGAGTTAGCGTCTTACTGTACGTGTCCAATTTTATAGATCAGAGCGAAGGGGTTACTAACTCGCAAACGATCTGTGTGTGCGTGTATTTGTATACGAGTGTGTGTGTGTGAGTGCAAGTGTGTTTATGTGTGTTAACTTGGTTAAAGCAGATGGCAATCAGATTGTGTGACCTGGGTTGGCGTGTGTTGATAGGCATTGTGATTACTCCAGTTCTTGTTAATCACATTTCTTCCTGCATTCTGCCACACACATTACATATCTGATGGATTAGACCACTAAATTAGCAGAAGCTTATCACATTTAGCTTAGTCCTCAAAAATGGTTACCCCAAATCATTTATGATTTAGTGATTTATTTATGTCTGGACTAATTTTCATCTCTTCATGACCTGCTTGTTTTAATTGACTGAACAGAACCACGAAAGAGATGGGACATGGATTTTGCTTTGTTTACTTCTCGATAGGCAATTGAATGCATTATACATTATTACTCATAACATATCTAGCCGCTCGTCATTGATGTTTCTGTGACTGCATACTCCCATACCTCATACATCTGAGTACTGTGTGTGAACTGAATAGCTCGGTCCAGGCTTTTCTGTTTGTGCTGTCCTTTAAAGGGTTAAGTCTGTATCGGTTCAAGGACCTGGATCTATGCCTGTATTGTTGCCATATTATCGTCTCAGTAAACATGTTAACTGGTATTTCTCTGCCTCGTCCATTGAACTCTATAATGTAACATCCTTTACCTCGTTCGTTAGATAGTCAGAAAGAACTAAAGCACAAATGGAATCCGAATAGTGTGTGTGATTCTTCTATAATACAGTGCCTTCAGAAAGTATTCACACCCCTTGACTTTTACCACATTTTGTTGTGTTACAGCCTGAATTTAACAAAGTAGAATTATGTTTTAAAAATGTCACAATGAGGCCAATGGTGACTTTAAAACAGTTACAGAGTTTAATGGCTGTGATAGGAGAACACTGAGGATGGATCAAAAACATTGTAGTTACTCTACAATACTAACCTAAATGACAGAGTGAAAAAAAGGAAGCCTGTACAGGATAAATATATTCCAGAACATGGATCCTGTTTGCAATAAGGCACTAAAGTAAAACTGCAAACAAATTGGCTAAGAAATTAACTTTATGTCCTGAATACAAAGCGTTGCAGTGCCTTCGGAAAGTATTCAGACCCATTTACTTTTTCAACATTTTGTTACATTACAGCCTTATTCTAAAATTGATTAAATATTTTAAAAATTCAGCAATCTACACACAATACCCCATAATGACAAAGCGAAAATTGATTGGACATGATTTGGAAAGGCACACACCTGTCTATATAAGGTATTTGTCAAATGTGCCGAATACAACAGGTGTAGACATTACAGTGAAATGCTTACTTACAAGCCATTAACCAAAAATGCAGTTTTAAGAAAAAAAAGTGTTAAGTAAAAAATATATAAGTAAAAAAAATAAAAAATAAAAATAATTAAAGAGCAGCAGTAAAATAAAATAACAGTAGGGAGGCTATATACAGGGGGTACCGGTACCGAGTCAATGTGCCGGAGCACCATTTAGTCGAGGGAATTTAGGTAATATGTACATCTGGGTAGAATTAAAGTGACTATGCATAGATAATAAACAGAGTAGAAACAGCGCAAAAAGAGGGGTTAGCTGATTAGCTGTTCAGGAGTCTTATGGCTTGGGGGTAGAAGCTGTTAAGAAGCCTTTCGGACCTAGACTTGGCGCTCCGGTCCCGCTTGCCGTGTGGTAGCAGAGAGAACAGTCTATGACTAGGGTGGCTGGAGTCTTTGACAATTTTTAGGGCCTTCTCTGAAATCGCCTGGTATAGAGGTCCTGGATGGCAGGAAGTTTGGCTCCAGTGATGTACTGAGCCGTACGCACTACCCTCTGTAGTGCCTTGTAGTCGGAGGCCGAGCAGTTGCCATACCATGCAACCAGTCAGGATGCTCTCGATGGTGCAGCTATATAACTTTTTGAGGATCTGAGGACCGATGCCAAGTCTTTTCAGTCTCCTGAGAGGTAATATGCTTTGCCGTGTCTTCTTCACGACTGTCTTGGTCTGTTTGGATCATGATAGTTTGTTGGTGATGTGGACACCAAGGAACTTGAAGCACTCAAACTGTTCCACTACAGCCCCATTGATGAGAATGGGGGCGTGCTCAGTCCTCTTTTTTTTCCTGTAGTCCACAGTCATCTCCTTTGTCTTGATCACGTTGAGGGAGAGGTTATTATCCTGGCACCACACGACCAGGTCTCTGACCTCCTCCCTATAGGCTGTCTCATCGTTGTCGGTGATCAGGCCTACCACTATTGTGTCGTCGGCAAACTTAATGATGGTGTTGGAGTCGTGCCTGGCCATGCAGTCATGGGTGAACAGGGAGTACAGAAGGGGACTGAGCATGCACCCCTGAGGGGCCCCCGTGTTGAGGAGCAGCGTGGCAGATGTGTTGTTACCTACCCTTACCACCTGGGGGTAGTCCGTCAGAACTGTTTAGTTCCAGGGTCCTTAGCTTAGTGATGAGCTTTGAGGGCACTATGGTGTTGAACGCTGAGCTGTAGTCAATGAATAGCATTCTCACGTAGGTGTTCCTCTTGTCCAGGTGGGAAAGGGCAGTGTGGAGTGCAATTGAGATTGCATCATCTGTGGATCTGTTGGGGCGGTATGTAAATTGAAGTGGGTCTGGGATAATGGTTTTGATGTGAGCCATGACCAGCCTTTCAAAGCACTTCATGGCTACAGACGTGAGTGCTATGGGTCGGTAGTCATTTAGGCAGTTTATCTTAGTGTTCTTGGGCACAGGGATGTTGGTGGTCTGCTTGAAACATGTTGGTGTTACAGACTCAGTCAGGGACATGTTGAAAATGTCAGTGAAGATACTTGCCAGTTGAACAGCGCATGCTCGGAGTACACGTCCTGGTAATCTTTTTTTACATTTACATTTTAGTCATTTAGCAGACGCTCTTATCCAGAGCGACTTACAGGAGCAATTAGGGTTAAGTGCCTTGCTCAAGGGCACATTAACGTCATTTAGCAGACGCTCTTAGCCAGAGCGACTCACAAATTGGTGCGTTCACCCTATAGCCAGTGGGATAACCACTTTACAATTTGGGGGGGGGTTAGAAGGAATACTTTATCCTATCCCAGGTATTCCTTAAAGAGGTGGGGTTTCAAATGTCTCCGGAAGGTGGTGAGTGACTCCGCTGTCCTGGCGTCGTGAGGGAGCTTGTTCCACCATTGGGGTGCCAGAGCAGCGAACAGTTTTGACTGGGCTGAGCGGGAACTGTGCTTCTGTAGAGGTAGGGGAGCCAGCAGGCCAGAGGTGGATGAACGCAATGCCCTCGTTTGGGTGTAGGGACTGATCAGAGCCTGAAGGTACAGAGGTGCCGTTGCCCTCACTGCTCCATAGGCAAGCACCATGGTCTTGTAGCGGATGCGAGCTTCAACTGGAAGCCAGTGGAGTGTGCGGAGGAGGGGGGTGACGTGAGAGAACTTGGGAAGGTTGAACACCAGACGGGCTGCGGCATTCTGGATGAGTTGTAGGGGTTTAATGGCACAGGCAGGAAGGCCAGCCAACAGCGAGTTGCAGTAGTCCAGACGGGAGATGACAAGTGCCTGGATTAGGACCTGTGCCGCTTCCTGTGTAAGGCAGGGTCGTACTCTCCGAATGTTGTAGAGCATGAACCTGCAGGAGCGGGTCACCGCCTTGATGTTGGCGGAGAACGACAGGGTGTTGTCCAGGGTCACGCCTAGGCTCTTCGCACTCTGGGAGGAGGACACAGCGGAGTTGTCAACCGTGATGGCGAGATCATGGAACGGGCAGTCCTTCCCCGGGAGGAAGAGCAGCTCCGTCTTGCCAGGGTTCAGCTTGAGGTGGTGATCCGTCATCCATACTGATATGTCTGCCAGACATGCAGAGATGCGATTCGCCACCTGGTTATCAGAAGGGGGAAAGGAGAAGATTAGTTGTGTATCGTCAGCGTAGCAATGATAGGAAAGGCCATGTGAGGATATGACAGAGCCAAGTGACTTGGTGTATAGGGAGAAAAGGAGAGGGCCTAGAACTGAGCCCTGGGGGACACCAGTGGTGAGAGCACGTGGTGCGGAGACAGCTTCTCGCCACGCCACTTGGTAGGAGCGACCGGTCAGGTAGGACGCAATCCAGGAGTGAGCCGCGCCGGAGATGCCCAGCTCGGAAAGGGTGGAGAGGAGGATCTGATGGTTCACAGTATCAAAGGCAGCAGACAGGTCTAGAAGGACAAGAGCAGAGGAGAGAGAGTTAGCTTTAGCAGTGCGGAGAGTCTCCGTGACACAGAGAAGAGCAGTCTCAGTTGAATGACCAGTCCTGAAACCTGATTGGTTTGGATCAAGAAGGTCATTCTGAGAGAGATAGCAAGAGAGTTGGCTAAAGACGGCACGCTCAATAGTTTTGGAAAGAAAAGAAAGAAGGGATACTGGTCTGTAGTAATCTGTCTGACCCTGCGGCGTTGTGAATGTTGACCTGCTTAAAAGTCTTACTCACATCGGATACGGAGAGCGTGATCACATAGTCATCCGGAACAGCTGATGCTCTCATGCATGCTTCAGTGTTGCTTGCCTCGAAGCGAGCATAGAAGTGATTTAGCTCGTATGGTAGGCTTGTGTGATTGGGCAGCTCGCGGCTGTGCTTCCCTTTGTAGTCTGTAATTGTTTTCAAGCCCTGCCACATCCGACGAGCGTCAGAGCCAGTATAGTACGATTCAATCTTAGTCCTGTATTGACTCTTTGCCTGTTTGATGGTTCGTCATAGGGCATAGTGGGATTTCTTATAAGCGTCCGGGTTAGAGTCCCGCTCCTTGAAAGCTGCAGCTCTACCCTTTAGCTCAGTGCGGATGTTGCCTGTAATCCATGGCTTCTGGGTGGGGTATGTCACTGTGGGGACGACGTCATCGATGCACTTATTGATGAAGCCAGTGACTGATGTGGTGTACTCCTCAATGCTATCGGAAGAATCCCGGAACATATTCCAGTCTGTGCTAGCAAAACAGTCCTGTAGCTTAGCATCTGAGTCATCTAACCACTTCCTTATTAACCGAGTCACTGGTGCTTCCTGCTTTAGTTTTTGCTTATAAGCAGGAATCAGGAGGATAGAGCTATGGTCAGATTTGCCAAATGGAGGGCGAGGGAGAGCTTTGTACGCGTCTCTGTGTGTGGAGTAAAGGTGGTCTAGAGGTTTTTTTCCCTCTGGATGCACATTTAACGTGTGTATCTGTGGTCTCCCATCCTTAACCCTTAGCCCAAGCACTGCCAGTAATTATCTCATTTCTCTGCTGTAGCCCATAGCTTCAGTCCAGACAGTCCAGTGTTGATCTGTATTCAACTACTGTCTTCTCTCTGTGACTTCATCAGCTCAGACAGTCCTGTGTGTGTATGTGGTCTCCTCTGTAGCTGGATCTGGATGAGGTTCTGCAAGCAGTGATTGAAAGCACAGCGTACACAAACTCTGCTACCCTACAGCTGTGTTCCAAGCCTGCAGCCATGCTACTGGAGCTGGTCAAGGCCATCATCACACAGGTGAGAAAACTGGGTTCAAAAATTAGTTTACCTTCTCGCTCTGACTACAATTGCACAAAAGTACTCTCAAAGCACTTAACATTGTAAATGGTTACTATTAAAGTCATCAGTATGAACTTAGTATTACACCCTTCCTCAATCTAAATGCTGTCCTGTCTGTCGTCTCTCTCCGTGTATAGCGGTTGTCTGCCACTGATGCATCTTGGTAGTCGCAGTTTCCCAGCAGTGTGATTCAATTCCTGTGTCTGGTACACAATCACTGCCCCGAGACCAACTATGGATTTCTTCGAAGTTCCTAGACACACTCGCCAGCACCGTGTTTCCCCTGAGGTGTGTATTCTTCTTCTGCTCTCCTGAGGGGACATCAGACCTAGAATGGGGGTTTTGATAAATAGTGATGTTCTAGCTCTACTCTCCTCACCCTCAGGAGGAGGCGCCTAAGTGGGAGTGTCAGCCAACCAGGAAGCAGGTGTGTGACTTAATCTGTATCCTCTTGCTGCTCAACTTGCCTGCCAAGGAATACACACACTTCCTGCTGCTGTTACTGGAGGTAAACACACACATATACACACTTGTTCCTAAATGACTGTATTTCCCTGCTTTCTCCAGAAGGTGTCACTCTTGGCCCGCCTATGAGACAGAGAGGCAACGTATTCATTGAGTCACACACTACAGCTAAATACATTTACATTTTAGCAGACGCTCTTATCCAGAGCGACTTACAGTTAGTGAGTTCATACATTTTTTCATACTGCCCCTCCCCCGTGGGAATCGAACTCACAACCCTGGCATTGCAAGTGCCATGCTCTACCAACTGAGCTACATGGCACCATGGGAGATGGAGAGAAGACAGGGCTGGCTGCTACCTTAGGAGCACATGTTCACCCATCTGTGTGTGTGTGTGTGTGTGTGTGTGTGTGTGTGTGTGTGTGTGTGTGTGTGTGTGTGTGTGTGTGTGTGTGTGTGTGTGTGTGTGTGTGTGTGTGTGTGTGTGTGTGTGTGTGTGTGTGTGTCTGTGTGCGTTGCAGTATTCCCCAGATGGAGCGTCGTTGGAGCAGAGACAGGTTATCCAGAATGAACTGCTTGAGTTTCTCATGGAGGTCATCCACATGACCAGCCAGGAGGATGGACATAACACATACCTCAACACACAGGGTAGAGTACACATACACAACACATGCACTCATGCACATACCTCACCTACAGTGCATTTGGAAAGTATTCAGACCCCTTGGCTTTTTCCACATTTTGTTACGTTACAGCCTTATTCTAAAATTGATTAAATACATTTTTTCCTCATCAATCTACACACAATACCCCATAATGACAAAGCGAAAACAGGTTTATAGAAATTTTTGCAAATGTATTACAAATAAAAAACAGAAATACCTTATTTACATAAGTATTCAGACCCTTTGCTATGAGACTCGAAATTGAGCTCAGGTGCATCCTGTTTCCATTGATCATCATTGAGATGTTTCTACAACTTGATTGGAGTCCACCTGTGGTAAATTAAATTGATTGGACATGATTTGAAAAGGCACACACCTGTCTATATAAGGTCCCACAGTTGACAGTGCATGTCAGAGCAAAAACCAAGCCATGAGGTCGAAGGAATTGTCCGTAGAGCGCAGAGACAGGATTGTGTCGAGGCACAGATCTGGGAAAGGGTACCAAAACATTTCTGCACCATTGAAGGTCCCCAAGACTACACTGGCCTCCATCATTTTTAAATGGAAGAAGTTTGGAACCACAAAGACTCTTCCTAGAGCTGGCCGCCCGTCCAAACTGAGCAATTGGGGGATAAGGGCTTTGGTCAGGGAAGTAACCAAGAACCCGATGGTCACTCTGACAGAGCTGCAGAGTACCTCTATAGAGATGGGAGAACCTTCCAGAAGCACAATCATCTCTGCAGCACTCCACCAATCAGGGCTTTATGGTAGAGTGGCCAGACGGAAGCCACTCCTCAGTAACAGGCACATGACAGCCCGCAAAAGGCACCTAAAGGACTCTCAGACCATGAGAAACAAGATTCTCTAGTCTGATGAAACCAACATTGAACTCTTTGGCGTGAATGCCAAGCGTCACGTCTGGAGGAAACCTGGAACCATCCCTATGGTGAAGCATGGGGGTGGCAGCATCATGCTGTGGGATGTTTTTCAGCGGCAGGGAATGGGAGACTTGTCAGGATCGAGGGAAAGATGAACGGATCAAAGTACAGAGAGATCCTTGATGAAAACTTGCTCCAGAGCACTCAGGACCTCAGACTGAACCAAAGGTTCACCTTCCAACAGGACAACAACCCTAAGCACACAGCCAAGACAAAGCAAGAGTGGCTTCGGGACAAGTCACTGAATGTCTTTGAGTGGCCCAGCCAGAGCCCGGACTTGAACCCGATCGAACATCTCTGGAGAGACCTGTAAATAGCTGTGCAGCTTCGCTCCCCATCCAACCTGACAGAGCTTGAGAGGATGTGCAGAGAAGAATGGGAGAAACTCCCCAAATACAGGTGTACCAAGCTTGTAGCGTCATACCCAAGAAGATTCAAGGCTGTAATCGCTGCCAAAGGTGCTTCAACAAAGTACTGAGTAAAGGGTCTGAATACTTATGTAAATGTGATATTTCAGCTTTTATTTTATATATATATTTTCAAAAATGTCTAAAAACCTGTTTTTGCTTGGTCATTATGGGGTATTGTATGTAGATTGATGTAGATTGACAAAACAATTTAATCAATTTTAGAATAAGGCTGGAACGTAAAAAATGTGGAAAAAGTCAAGGGGTCTGAATACTTTCCGAATGCACTGAATGCACTCACGCATGCACACCCACACACACACACACACATGCACACACACACACCTCTCACATGCACGCACACTCACAACCACGCACGTACACACACACACACACACACACACACACAAACACACACACACAGACAGACACACAATCACAAATTGAATGTCCATGCAAAGGGGAATAAAGCATTGTATTGTGTCACTCAACAGATCTTTCTCCCTCTTTGTCACCAGACGCAAACTCCAAGAGACCTGAGGGGCAGATGGCCACTCAGATGGAGGACGTGGTATTTTCCAGTCAAAAGTTTCTGCAGAAACTCTTCAGCGGCATGTTTCTGGTTGAGCCAGAGAACCTGCTCACCTTCCTGGCTGACCAGATAGTGTTGGTGGGAAACACTCTGAATGCTATGTGCTGCCATGGGTGTAAGTAACATTACAGAATGCTCAGATAAATAGTACTGTCCTTCATGTACATAGTAAGTAAGGAGTCATGTCAACTCTATTCATAAAATCTTTGGTGGCATTCCAGGCTGACTACATTGCAGTCGCCTGCCATATCTCAGAACGAAAACGGTTAAACAAATTAGCTAACCGCATCATTTGATATAGCAGCCTGATGTCTGACTGCGAAGTCATTGACGTGATACGCCTGCCTGGAACGCAGGCCTTCTGCCTATCTGCAATGGTCTGAACTTTTCACCTGCTGTTTCCTGTCAGGTGCTGGAGAAAGGCCTATCACAGAGAGATCAACACCAACCCAGGCCTGCTCTACTTCCTGTCCCGCCAACGACACACACAGGCCGAACAGGAAGCTGTCTTCAGGACACTGCGAGTGGTAATGGCGCGTTGGGATGTAGTCATGGTAAACTACAAGGCCAGAGTGAACTTCAACACATGCCTACTGCACTGTCTACTGTTGATACTATTTGACAGGTAGGTAACATGTGTACGCACATGTGTAAGCACCCATGCACACACAAACACACACACGTGTGCGTGCGCACACTCAAGAACACACACAACATACACAGGGTGTTGAAGAGTTAGTCATGTGATTGGTTTATGATTGGCTTTGTGATCATGGATGCTTTGTATTCATTGTAGGTCTATGCTGTGGGGTATTGTCTGTGCCCTACAGCTACCCAGAAGGCTTTGGGTGTGAAACGCACAAGAAACACCAGCCGAGAACCCTGTCTCATCTTTTCCCTATCAAGAGTAGCCGCACTTCCACAGTCAGACAGAGGTAGTGCTATGTGTGCATGTGTGACAGTAGAGACAGATGTCCCTAGTTGAGGGACCCATCACCCATAAGATCGAGCTGAGTGTGTGTTACAGAGTTGATGTCCCTAGATGAGAGTGTGTGGTCTAAGATCCTGACTGAGAGACGCCCCATTCTAGAAGACACCTATAAGTGCGAGCTGTCAGCCAATCAGATTTAGAGGATGGGGGAGGAGACATCACTCAAGGCATGGCAGTTATACACAGGTGAGACCACACACATGCATGGACGCACAAACACATCACTTAGGTATACACACAGGTGAGATGCAAGCCTGCACAGTATATCAGATCTTTATGCCTGCCGAAGTGAACCACATCAATATGATCTACTGTTCTTGCTCAGGACTGCACTTGTGTATTTTGTGTATATGTCTGACTTAAGGACTGACTTACTGATTAATTGATTGATTGATTGATTGATGTTTTTTGTCTCGTCAGACAATATAAAGAGGAAGCTGACAGAGGAAACGTAGTGTAATCAGCTCTGCTATTTGCTCTGTCCACAAACGACTGGGTAGAGAGACGGGCACTGTGGAGGTAACCTGACCAAACTACACTGTTTGTTGATATTACTATACTAGTGAGGACCTTGAGTGTGTGTGTCCTTAGGGGCATGTCGGTTCATTGGCTAGATTACATCTTTGTCACACAGGTGCCCCTAAACCCCCTCACACACACACACACACACCTCCCAATGTCACTGTGCTGTGTGTGCGTGTGTGCGTTGGTCCATCAAACCCTGTGGGTGTGTTTGATTATTCCTGTAAATGGATTTGGATTGTCCCATCTGACCACCCCTCAGTGGGCCCAGTAATTGATATCTGTTCATTGTATCTGTAGTAATACCCACACACGCTAAGGCTGCTGTTGAAGGTTAAAGACGCGCTTATTGTTGTTTTTACGCCCGAAACACGCAACCCACATCATTAGTTCCCCCCGCAGAGGAAGACGTTGCGCCATCTGGATCAGGACGTGGAGACGTATTACTCAGGCGCACAGCCATGAAATTACCGTGTCTATCTGGCTGTGTCTGGTTGTGTGTCTGTCTTTCAGTCTCGCCCCCACAAACAGTGTGTGCGTGTGTGTGTGCGTGTGTGTGTGTGTGTGTGTGTGTGTGTGTGTGTGTGTGCCTTGAACCCCAGAAACAGGCGTTGGTAATTATAGCGGTACCAATCTGATGAAAACATGATTCATTTTGTGTTCTTATTTATCATATCATCTGCTGACAGCCCATCGACTGCCTGATTAATGGTCTCTACTCCCTAAAAGGCAGAGCAGTCAGGAAATAGGACTTAACAGAATAATGTTTTCATCAGATTGGTCCCGCAACTGGTCCTTCCTCAAGGAAGTTTGCTTGTACTTTAGGAGGCTACTGGTTTTGTAGAGCTCGAGAGATGGCAATCAAGCAAATCAAATCAAATTTGATTTGTTAGGTGTAGGTGTGTGTAGTTTGTATGGGTCTGTGAATGGGTGTACAGTTCTCTACAAGGTCCTGTTCATTAGGGAACACCATAGCAAAATGTTTATCATCGCTGTGCAACGGAAAAGGAACATTTCTTATTATACAAGTTAAGATAGTACCTCCCTGTTCCACTCCGTTTTGGACCGTCTTCTTCCGATTTCTGCCTAGTGAACACTGGAGACAAGGTGCCCATGGTAAACCATTACAGATAACAGCACTATACTGCATGGAGATACTGACAGACTGGGAGCAGTCAAAAGCTTTCAGTGATTCATTTCAGCAGCGTTCTATAGTTCTATCTGTCTCTTCATATTAACCAAAAAATTAACAATATCAATTTTAAACAAACAGTTTGCAAAGCACTTTTGAACGTTCTGAATGTTTGGCATTCTAGAACAATGGACTTTGACGTCACTCGGCGAACCAGTCAATCAACTGCAGCATATTACAATAGCAGAGGCTGCCCCAGTATTTGTGTGTTAGAGATGTCGATGAGGAGTATGACATGTCTCCTCTCTAATGCCCAGGAAGCTCAGATTCATACTCCCATTAGACAGCTCTGCAAGCATTATAATTTCAAAATACATTGGTTACTCACAAGGGGTCAGCAATTTTGAAATTGGGTAGTGCATCATCAGTTCCTCTGGTCATGTCAGTCATTGCATACCTTAGAGAGCTATTTATAACTTGTCAGAAATGTCCAGATCCACTAGCCCATGTCATCTAATGTTTTTTAGCTAGGTTTTTTTAGCCCATAGATTTTGTAGTAATGGTTGAGTCACTCAAATATCACATGAATACATTTTAGACATGGCAATATGCATAGAATTGCAGGAAATAAGCTTCAACCTGCAACATTTTCAATGTGCCAACAAGAGGGGTCTGAACAGTTTGTTTCATGAACAGTGTTTGTGCCCATAGAAATAGACATGGCACACACGCACGGGCAGTGGCGGGGCACGGGATGTTCCCCAATTCTGGAAGGGGGGTCTGAGTGAAAAAGTTTGGGAACCCCTGCAATAACCTACATGTGGAGATGAACCTAAAGGCACATACAGTACCAACCAATACTACTCACCAGACAGACAGGGGAGGTGCTTTTTTGGCTGCAGTTTTCTGGTCCGCAGCTGCTCCCTTCTTCTTAGCCGCTGCCGCCTTGGCATCAGTCAACAAGTTAAACTTCAACTTGAGAGTGGAGCTCTCAATAGTACAGAATAATGAGTTAAAGGGGGGGACAGCTCCAGATCTGAACGGCAGGAGTGTGTATAAGCTTTTGTTCCAGCCCAGCTCATACCGAATTACAAATCATAGCATATCGCTGTGATTCGTTATGTTGATTGATTTAAGTCAGGTGTTAGAGCTGGGCTGGGACAAAACTCTTCTTCAGGACTTCCTGCAATGACTGAAACAGACCAAAGCAGGAGAATAGTGTTCCAGGTTGAAACAGCTTACCTAGTTGAGAGGTGATAAGACTCAGGCACACACATTGGTTCTGGAATAGTGAAGGTGCAAATAAGGTTTGCAATTTGGCATCAATAACATGACAGTAATTCTACCTCAGAAACAAACGTGTGAATACCAATTAATTTAAAACCCACCATAGCATTTAGGACTAAATAACATTAAATAACCTTGCCTACAACTGTACTAATGATCTAATACAGGCAAATATATTGATAAAAGACACCTTGTCCGAGAGAGATTTACATGGTTATCAACACATCACGCCAGGGTAAGCCTACACGAAACACAGCCCTTATTTGAAGTGTTTCTAAAATCCACTATGGGAAAAATGTGTTTGACCTCTAGATTGTATGGGTATTATGACTCATACTGTGGTACTCTATAATGGCTTGAATAATAGGCTAGCTAGTCTGAGGAGTTTTCTAGGCAGAGACCATGGCGTGTTTTCTAAGATGAGACTGTGGCAGCTAGTATTCAGACCTTATGACTGTAGCCTTTTGGACTTATGAGTAGGCTACTCGTCTGGATAGGCATTGAGTTGGACAGCTAATGGGTTATTTGTTGAATGAACATCCCCTGATCAATCCATCTCTGCGTCTCATATTTGACATGACAAAATGACTGCGTTAATATTAGGATATTACAGCTGTTATGATCGGCACATTTCAGTGATGTACTTTGCTAATAACCTTGTCATCTATTTATCACTCTATCGACATGCACGTCTGTAAATTATCCAAAACGTTGTGACCAGAGTTGGGGTCAATTCCATTTCAATTCCAGTCAATTCAGGAACTACATCGAAATTCCAAACTTCAATGCTTTTCAATTAGGAAAATGTGGAATTCGCATTTGAATTTGAATTTGGTTTACTTTCTGAATTGAGTGGAATTGAAATGGAATTGACCCCAACCCTGGTTGTGACATGTAATTTGACTACTGGGCTATTGTCAGAACATTATGTTGCAAAATAATTTAATAAAGATGGCTAAAATGCTGAACATGTGCACAATGTTTGCAGTTCCAGTGCACTCAGTGGTTCCCGCAGTGATGTCTCACAGAGCAATTGATAGAAATCCAACAGTTTTTCAGAATGTCTCTGCAAATGCACAAAAAAAGTAGTTGTAAAATAAGGTGAAATTAGATTACTATTGGTTGTGAATAGGCTACTGGGTGGTTGTTGAGTTGTTTTGTAAGTTGTTACCCTGTTAAATTATCCATATACACCCTTTAAATTCATTACCAGTCACCACCAGCACACAGAGATGTTGACATTAGGTTGCTTTATGCAACAATGCACCCACCGCACGCATGCACTTACACACACACCACACACACACACCACACACACACACACACACACATCACCATCATCAGAGGTGGCGTGTTGTTGGGAAGTTATTAAAATGGAAATGAGAATGTGTGATGTTATGATGTTAATTGCGGAGGGGAAGAGATGAGTTATGTTATTTAATGCAGCGTTTAAAGAGTGAATGAGATTGCTATCTGCTAAATAGGGTAATTAATGCTATATATTACTTATGTTTCTCCAAATTAAGGAATGAAATTATAGATGGTGGTGACGGCAGCGACTCTGTGTTTATCTGTGAAAAAACTGATTTATTTTATCAACTTTATTAGGCCCGTTTATCTCTTCTCTCTTTTTAATTTTTCTTCAATTTTGTTTCCTATTCTTCCTCCATTTTTTTCTGTTGTCTATATTGTCACATTTGTGCTGTCCGTCGGTTCCTGGTTTGAACAACAGTTTTGGAGGTCATGTAGTTTATCGTCAGAACAAGTCTCTGTCTATCCTCAAAGACTACATTTGAAATACCATATACAATCACTAGGGTTTTCCAATCTATATCTGGGTTGAGACTTAAAGGTCTTGTGTCCCACAAAGTAAAGAAAGACAGTACCCAGTTTTTAACCATGACCCAAAAGTTATCAGCCCCAACCCCCCACCTGTGTGTCCCCACCCTCTATTAAGGAAACACTCCCACAAAGGAAGAGAATAGCCTCCCCTCTTCTTACAATGAACTTTGCTATTATGGTTGCCATTCTGTAAGATTGAGGAGTCTCATGTCACAAACTACCAGATATGCAGCCAAGTCTGTCGATACTCAGAGACATGACTTGATGTACAAGATTTCTTATATTCATCTGAGATGCTTGACTAAACTACCAGGTGGATCAGATGAAATCCAGACACAAGACAAGCATTTATTA